TTTTGACATTTGCTATAAAAAGACCCATGTGTCACCCAGATGCTGCTGCGCGAGGTAAAACTGTTACTTTCATTCATCACAGACACTACTTCCAGAGCTGAAACTTAAAGTCTTGGCTCTACTTGGCACTGTCAGTGATAATAATGGGTCCCTCGCCTTTCATATTCTTTTTCATAGAATACAAGGCGTTTTGTGATTGGATTGGGGGAGATTGTGAGGTTTATTCATACCTCCCCTCTTGCAATCACAGAACGCCTTGTATTCTGTGAAAAAGAATTTGATGGGCTAAGGACCCACTATCACTGTACTAGAGCCAAGACTCTGAGCTCCAGCTCTGGAAGTTCGTCGCTTAAAGTACTATCTGTGATGTGTATTAAACCATATTGGTTTAGTCTTTGATCTTTTATTTTTGCTCCTTAAAGGTATACACTTTGAAGTAGCAGTATGTACTGTGATGTATGAAGGTAAGGCCGCATTCCCAACTCTGTCCCCATAAGACAGAATTCCTATCATTTCCTGTCCTCTGATAGCCAGTTACTGTGACAGGAAGTGAAGGGAAAGCTCCCCTATGGGGACAAAGACATTGATGAAGACCTGTCAGAGATTCTAACACGTTATCAACAAAAAGTTTTGGCAGAAATTGAGCTTTAAAGCCAAACTCCAGGCAGATATAAAAGACACAGAGTAATGCATTAATATATTATTCACTGTATAGTTTTAAATGCAAGCAGTGCATGTAACTGAATCAACCCATGTATTAGCCTCTTGCATACAGCGGAGGTCAGGCTTGGAGAGGGAGAAACAGTCAATCAAGTGTACTACAATGATCCTGTATTCACAAAAGCATGCAGCCAGGAGCAGAGAGCACATTTGCAAAGATGAGATCATCAGCCTACTGCTTCTTCTTCCACTGCCCAGTCAAAGAATGTGGAAAGGTACAAGAGCTGGAAGTGTTACTTAATTGGGTCTCCTTCCCTGCTAGACAGGGCTGTGCTGTGCGGCAAAGCTGTGTAAATCTCAAGACAGGATGTACAGATATACAAATCTTTTACCAGGTAAACCATCTCCCTTACATGCATTGTATCTGTGTATTTAGCTGTTTACCTGGAGTTCAGTACCCTGCTACTTGAAGTTTTTTCAAGTAGCAGGGTAGAAAGAAATAGCCAAAAATAGTAGAATAGCAACAAGTAATCAGACAGATATTAGCTGTAATTACATTTACGTGTAGTATACACTGCTCTCTTCACGGGGTATGTTGTAAAAGGCAGGGTGTTGCTACCTACTAATTGAATTTTTTAGTGACAACATAATGCATTCCAATGTCTACTGCTCAAATTCTCACAAATCCTCATTGTATTTAATACTGCAGGATTGTGGTTGTTTGAACAGCGGTATCGGCAATGTCTGAAACTTATTGTTCAAGGACTGTTCCCATGTGCAGACAACTCTGACAAGTGCTGCTGACAAGCAAACAAGTGCAAAAGGAAAGTCTTTTTGCTGGCATTGTAATGTTCACTCTAGTAAATAGGAAACATAAGTACAATGAAAAGTTACATTTCCTTTTCTACTGCATGTTACACTCATATTTATGTATTAAAGAACTCCAGGATTTATTAAAATGCACCTACTATGCCCAATTGGCAGTTGGGCCAGACTGAATTTGCAGGAATCATAGTCACAAATGTTAAGGGAGAACTCCAGGATTAAAATTAACCCTTGCACTGGGGCTTCCACTACACTGCATTATTACCTACTTCTTTTGGTCCAGGGATGAAAATATAGAAGATTCACTCACCTGATCCTCAGCCCTGCGGCAGTGACCGCACACCTCTCTGCCCCTCAGCTCCAGCAGTGGTATGTCCCTCAGCACCTTCAAATCTAATGGACCTGCTTTAGAAGTGATGACATCATAGGTCCTTAGACTGCCAGTGCCTGGGGAAGAAGAGGTTGTGGGGACTGGGCTAGCAGCCAGGCAGGACTGAGGATTGGGTGAGTATATTTTCTTTATTTTGCATCCTAGACCAAAACAAGCACTTAAATGAGACTAAACTCAGGAGTTAAATCTTAAAAATGCATTCAAGTTCTTTAAATATTAACACAAATGTATAATATTTGTGTATCACACGGCTGTAGATCCTCCAATCATCTCTGAACTTTTACTGCTTCAAGCTTGCTCCCATGATGGACTACATCTCAATACAAGTTGGAGGGCTAAACATGAGATGGTAGTTCGTCATTGGATTGAGCTTGTAGCGGTGACTACTCTACAACACACACAGGGACCGTGGGGTACAAAAGTAGCGGACCTCCAGAAGGAAGGACACTGTCAGCACCAATTCAGAGATGATTTAACCACTTAAAGACCGTGGTGTTAAACCCCCTTCCAGGCCAGGCCATTTTTCAGTATTCAGCGCTGCTGTATTTTGACTAGGGCTGGTAATGATTAAAATTTTAGTGTTCGATTAATCGAAACATTTTTTAATCGATTAATTTCGATTAATTATAACGCACATACAGATCCAACTACATTGGCCTATACACATACAGCACAGCAATTAAGTAATAAAACGAACTATGATCACACTAATCCAGCACGTTATTAATCTCACATGCCCCACTCAATATGGCCGCCGCTTGAGTGGGGCAACTCAGAATAATAACGTGCTGGATTAGTGTGATCCTAGTTCATTTTATTACTTCATTGCTGTGCTGTATGTGTATAGGCCAATGCCTTGGCTGGCGCTCGTGTAGAAAGTTTCTTGGGCAAACTCACCGGCCCAAGTGGCTCCTTCGGCTAATGAAGGGGGAGGAGTCCGGTGACGTCACGGACATCGACGTCACTGGACTCCTCCCCCTTCCCTTCGTTAGCCGTCACGGACATCAACGTCACCGGACTCCTCCCCCTTCCCTTCTTTAGCCGACGGAGCCACTTGGGGAAGGGGGGAGGAGTCCGGTGATGTCGATGTCCGTGACGTTACCGGATCGTCGACGGGACTCCCGGAAGCCGGCGGAGAGGTGAGTGTTTTCATTAGCGATCAAAATAATTTTAATCGATCAAAAAGTTTAACGATTAATCGAGAAATTAATCTTTCATTTCCACAGCCCTAATTTTGAGTGACATTTATTCCGTCATGCAACGCTGAGGACAGATAGAGCTTTCTTTTGGTGGTATTTAATCATCACTGGGGTTTTTAGATTTTACTTCATAACAAAAAAGTACCATAAATTAAAAAAAAAAACTGTTTCCCTATGAAATGTTATGAAACATTTATTATCACCCCAATTTGTTGGTAAAATATAAAAGACGGGGTCATGTCGGGTAAATAGACACCAAACATGTCAAGCTTTAAAATTGCGCGCACCCGCGAAATCGCAGAAAACGACCACACACAAAATTGGCCATAGGCGACGCTTTAAGCTTTCATCAGTTTAATGTTATCAGTAATTAATGGCCCTAGAATTATTGCTCTCATTCCAACGTTCGCGGTGATATGTAACAGAGATCTGCTTCATCATCTTCCCTATAGCTTCTGTACCGGAGAGTGACACTGAATGCAGGAAGTGATGTAATATACATCACTTCCTGCATTCGGGGACTAGAGATCTCCCTTTGATCTCCACTGACAGCATAGCCGTGTCGGTCCCAGCCACAACGGGTACAGCGAATCTCGGGAGTGGCAACGGCGGCGACGGAGGGGGGGTGCACATCTGCAGTTACTACAAGCGATCAGGCGCTTCTAGAGACGATTGATCACTTGAATGTAAACAGCCATCGCTGGCTGTGTACATTGCTGACAGTTTCCCCACTTGTGTACGCGCTGGGCACCGTGCACGGGCGGGGGGCTCCTATAAGGCTCCCGTCCAGCCGTTCAGGAACGGCCATGGACGGGAGATGGTTAAAGTGACATTAAAGTCACAATTCCCCCCCCCCATGCTGCTGCCTCTTGATCCGATCATCTTCTTCTTTCCAGTAGTTTTCAGGAGTCCCTCTAGCGCTGGTGTCGGTCTCAGATCCAGCGTAGACTCCTCGGGTGCCACAATGTCTGTCTGACGTGCATGTTTACAGCTGTGTACATTCACCTCCACTGTGCCTCTCCTCTTCTCCCCGCCAAAGATCTCTACTGCGCATGCGCCCGCCCGATCATCCTGCACGGCCGCTCGAGAAGCTTCAGATCTTCAGCCGGGAGCGAGCAAATGAGACAAAGGTAAGTATTTACCTATTAACTTATTTTTTTTGTTTTGTTTTTGGATATATCTACTGCTTGCTAGCAATAGATATATGTAACAGAAAAAAAAGGCTTTAATACTACTTTAAGGATCTTCGCCCGAGTGATACACAAACACAAAGATACATTTTTCATAGTAGTTAGGGTACTTGAAGGCATTTTTAAGATTTAACTCCTAGTATCACTTTAACCCTTGCAGTGAGGGGGTAATTTGAATACATTTTGCATCATTTTGAATCCTGGAGTGCTTTCTCAACATTTGTGACTCTGATTCCTTAAATTCGATTTGACACAACTGCCAATTGGGCCAAGTATTTAAGATTGCAAAACGGCAAAAATCTTAGATCAGTCGTATGATCCAATTAATCCCAGTATGAGATCAGCATCTGTCACACGAGATCTGAGAGGTTGGAAGAAACCTATGAAATGGCACTCTAACACCAGATTAGAACCCCAGCGAGAAATATTTCTTCCAAAAAGAAGTTTTCTGAATCCAATTAGTCCAACACAATCTGTTCTACAAACATCCACCTCAATACATGAAGGTACTCCTGGCTTCTTTTCCCAAAACTACTGATTTACAAAATATAAAAACTAGAACATCTGTTCACAGTTATCGATTAACTTTCTGTTCTGCTCCAGATTTGTAAATCAGCCTACGTATTAAACAACATGTTCTTGCACACGTTATATAGATATGTCTTTTCTAGAACTGCAAGCCAAGATCTAGTGTAAACTCCCTCTGTGACAACATGCAAACCTGTCACCTCTTACCAGACATCGCTGCCTGTCCTTCTGTGCTGGGAAGAGACGCAGTTTAGGGATATGTATAGAGGGACGTCCTCCTCCTCGTTTACCTCAATTCAGTCCATGTGAATCTGTTAATATACTCAAACAGAGACCTCAAATCCCATGTAGTATCAAAAGCCCGTTCCGCAGGCACAGTGCTGTCATTGTCAGCTCATGCAGTGGACAATGACTGGCTCCTGAATCCTCCCCTTTTTACTGTACAGGCATTGAACGCCCGTCTTCTGTTTGAGCTGACTAGAGGGGAGGAGAGAAAACTCTTATAATAAGACATTCAAATTAGTTTTTCTTCCACCATGTACAAGTTTACTTCTGTCTGTTGGGATTGAAAGAAAATTGTATTTTTGGTAAATACTGGAGTTACCACCTGATCTCTATTCTTGGGTGTGTGCAATGGATTTACTTAAGGCAAATAGGCTGTTCACTTTACAGGGGAAATTTCTACTTAGCTTAGTGAATGTGGTGAAATTTACTTTGCAAAGAATACCTAATCACATGCAAGGAAAATAAAAAACAGTATGTTTGCTTGCATATGAGTGAATGATAGAAGTTGGCAGAGCTTCACCACGTTCCCTAAGCCAGTGCTTTTCAACTTTTTTCAGTTATGACACCCTTTAAAAGTGTGCAAAATCTTGAGGCCCCCCAATCTAAAATATAATGGCTTTTGAGGGGTGACCCCAATTAAAAACACAGAAAATGGAGTTCCTCTTTCACATTGAAGTCCCACATTCAAAGCAGGTACCTCCCTTCACATCAGAGCCCCCTTTTTTCAAATCAGAGTCCCCTCTTTCACATTAGAGCCCCCCCTTCATATCATAAGTACCTCCTTTACATCAGTATCCCTGTTCACATCAGAAGCCCCCCCTCTTTCACATCAGGAGCCCTCTCCACATCAGGTGCCCCCATTTAACATCATAAAATTCCTTTACATGAGGGTCCTCATTCCCCCACATGAAAGTTCTACAAACACACAGGAGCCACAGCTAAGGCAGCATGGCAGAGGGTGGGAGGTAAAGCAGGACTGGATAGAGATAAACTTCTATCCTTTTCTGAACAGATCTCACCCTCCCTGGATTAAGGTGCCCACACAACTTGCGATAATCGCGGGAAATCTCGCGATCGTACGGTTATCGTAAGGTGTGTGGGAGCCGTGCGACCTCTCCTACTGTAAGATCGCACGACTTTTATCTTAGGAACCAGCCGAACGTCGTACGATTTTCGGATGGTTTGTGGCATGTTCGCAAGATAAAAGCCGTGCGACCTTACAGTAGGAGAGACACTTACGATACCGTACGATCGTGAGATTTCCCGCGATTATCGCAAGTTGCAAGCGCACACTGCCTGTTAAGCATTGCAGTCATCAGAAGCCCGCCCCTCAGTGGGGTGGGCTTGCGATGATCGCAAGTACGATCTGCCTGTCCAAGATAGGCAGATCGTAAGTTTTTTTACTTACCTTACAACCATCGCAAGACAAAAGTCTTGCGATGGTTGTAAGGTCTGTGTTGACGGTCGCGTGACAGACGCGCATATTACAATACGCATAGGTGTGAATGGGGCCTTGGCATCCATGTTTCCATGGTGCTGGGACCACAGGAGGAAGTAATCAAAGAAGAGAAATTGTACTGACTATATGTTTTTGTTCCATCATTCTTGTCTATCCAAAAGAACAAAAAGTAATGACTTGAAAATGTATAATCAATGTGAGTTACAATGGTTACATGTTATGGAAAAAACTATTCAGAAATGATCAATAGCATTACAAAATTGTATTTTGGATATTAGTGCTCAGTTCCCGGTAGAACGCAGCGCGGGGGAGCACTCTATCCAAAACACAAATTACACTTTAAAGAGGAACTCTTAAAGTTGTGGCCAAAAAAAGGAAGAGGGAAAAGGACTAGCCAACAGTGTTCCCTTTGGTCTCCCTGCAGCTGATATTTCCCCATTATTTGCTATGCCTTGTTCTGCTTTGTGTTTCTGTGTGTAGGTGGCCATGTTGGCAGTGGGAGGGGTTTACTTCCTCATTAAAGAGTCTCCAGCAAGGTGAATAATGAGCAGCACAGTATCACCAAATCTAAATCTCATGAGACTGGTAGTTGAAAGCAGTGGTGCCTTAGATCTCAGATATACAGTTTTGAGACTGTAGGCACAGACGTGCCTCGGGACACTCACTCGTCAGGCTACTACTTAGACGCAATTAACAGGTTCTCAGGCATCCTCTTTGGCCAGTTTACAAAAAGTAAAAAATCGATTTGGGAGAAAGCAAGAATTTTTATTGCAGATTTTTTATTTTCCTGACTTTACTTCTGCTTTAAGCCTGCACAAATAAACACTTACCTAAATTCCCCCACCCAAGTACCTTATTGAGTGGCCCTAAAAAACATTCCGGCCATGTGCATGTCCACATTCATTAATATGAGTAGTCTGTACTTTACTGGATGGCTAGGGGCTGACATGAGTACACACCATTTAGAAAAATATTTAGAAGTATAATTTCTCTTTAAAAAAATGATATATGCACTGTTTTTGTATATATTGGGTTTTAGACGCACACACTGATTTTTTGCATGTTCTATTGACTCAAAGTGTAAACATGAGGAGCTAAACACAGAGCCATAATTTAACCTCAGGATGTAACATCTCTCCGTATCCCATCCTTATTTCATATTTGTTATTTACTAAATACATTTTACAACTGCCACAAATTCCCAAACAGACTCATGGATTGCAAAGATCAGCACGTGGGAGAGGTGTGAAGAAGTCTGATGAGACACTCGCAGGTGTTATATGTACACAGGTGTAGCCTTCACATGAGACTGCCAATCAGGTCTGTGTGAGAAGACTGTGCTGAAAACAACTATTCTCCAACTCATGTGCCAGTAGCTAGAACTATTCACTGCCACTGAGCTTCATTTTCCAGAAGATAAAAAACATCAGTGGTGTGGGGTCTTTAAAATTGGGCCTTTAGTGTTGGCGGTGCTTTCACACCATAACCCTTCAGAGTTATTCTTGACGAGTGCAGGTTTGGACCCTGCTCTAAAAATTCAAATTATATATACCTGTCACACAGGTGTGGAAAAAAATGGGCCTTTGGTGTTGGTGCCTCCACACTGTAAGGTCTCGTTCACACCTAGGCATATTGCACATGCGCGTCTTTCGCACGTTTTTTTACCACGATTCGCGGTAAAAAAAGTTGCGCGACCATCGCGCATTTCCGAAGGCTACTTGGCTGTATCCCAATGGAAACGCGCAACAAAACGTCCCAAAGTAGTACATGTACCTTTTCAGGCGTGGGCCGTTTTGTAGCGTGTTAGGGAAGGGCGGAAATACGCCAAGGTGGGAACGAGACCATTGAATACAATGGGATTTATATTGTTGAGCGTTTTGTAGTGCGTTCGTCGAGCGTAGAACGCGCTACAAAACGTTCAGGTGTGAACGAGGGCTTACCCCTCGCAGTTACTCTTGATGGGCGCAGGAATGGGCACACAGCATGTGGGAGGGAGGATGTTCACCCTCCTAAAAGGACACCTGTCACCTTGTTGGCCTTTCAGATGCAGGGCTTATTAAAAAATTTTATTAGAGAATGTGGAATGGGAAATTGGTACTCGGGTGCAATACTTTATCGCATGTGGTGCTTGTTGCACTATAAACTGTTGTACAATGGCTTATTATGAAAAGAAAAAAAAGGAAAAACAAACAAATAAAAAAAGGGAACACCTGCGACGCAGAAGGGGGAACACAAGTAACACAGAAGGGTGAACAGCAATGAGGCAGCAAAATTAACATGCTGCTGAAAAAAAATACTTAAAGAAAAAAAAAAAACGGGTGACGAAGAAGGAGGAACACCAGTGACGCCACTGACACACAAAAAAAGAAAAGACAGTGAATATACAGCACACACAAATGCCAGAAGTGCTATTTTGTGCTGGGAGGGCACTGAATTGGTGCTCCAAAAACAGTAACCTAACATGGAAAATTTTATTTTATTTTTACTTATATAAGTCTACAGATAAATCTGGCCATGTGCTGGATGGATTTTTGTATGAAGGCATCCGTGTGAAAATTTCATCAGAAAATTCAATAATGCCATCAGAGACTTGACGAATGTTGTTCAAAATTTTGTTTATTTTTAACATTCAATTTTGTAATGAATGGAGTTTCCCAACCAAGAACCACATTCACTGTTTATCATAAATTTTCCTTCCTGCGCCTTCGATTTTTTTTGTCACCACAGTTTAAAATGATCTGAACCCGTTAACTATTAGAAAATAAACAAACATTCCAAAAAATTTATTTTTTTAACCAAATTCCACAGGTGTATAGCTGTTCTTACTCATTAGTTCCATCTTGATGGTGAGAGTAGTTGTCACACCCACCTTATCCCAGTGTCATTGTTCATGAATGGAACTGAACAAATGTTATCAATATAGTTCTTCTGGGAGCCTTGCTGGGGCTGGTAACTGTATGTATTCAGTACTATAAAAGTGTCATTATAAAGTGCATTTTAAATCCATCTAATTTCTGATATGATATATTAGATTAGATGTTTTGTCACTAAACTGCTGCCATCTTATTTGTGTATTTAGACAATCGGCTTCATTTGACAATCATTTTGATTTTAACATTTAATGGCTTTCTATTTTCTTACATTTTAATTCATTTAAAAGAAAACATCTTATTTTTCCAGAATGGGCTTGCATTCTGTGCTGAAGCAGATCTTGTTGTTTTCATCTGGTCCTAGTAATAATGTCTTGCACATAAATTATTTATTATCATATTATTGCTCACTGTTTAAAAAAAAATGCTGCCATCAATTAATAGCAACATTAGGTCTCATGATGCTAACACTAAGATGAGGGAAGAGTAGCATGTGGGAGGGAGGATGTTCAGCCTCCTAATAGGACACTTTGTCATAGTTTAACTCATTAAATGCCTGACATATAGTTCAAAATTGTTAAAATATTACATTCTGTCTATGTGCTGGCATTTTTATAATCATTTGCAGGGAGACATTGCTGTCAAAGCACTATGTCT